AAGTGGTTGCCGAAGTGGATATGGATTTATACCATGTATTAAACCCAATTATATTTGATGTAATATTAAACAAACATTTATTTATTAATTTATAATTATTTATTGCTAGATTATAATTTATAATCCATATTTAAATTACTGTGAATAAAACATAAATGAAATGTTTATTATATTTTTAAATAAAATATTTAAATAAAAACTGATGGTTAGATATATTTAATGAATATACCAATTATTATAATTCACAGGACAATTGGCGCCATTAGTGAGTTATTCACAGCACTTGCGGTCACTTTTACGGATTTATAGTCCGTTTGATGCCCGAAAGATGACACCTGTGTTTCCATTAATTGGTAATTATATCTCATATTTATTTAATATATTCTTTAATATAATTTAAAAGTTGTATTAATTGTGAAAATATCTGAAATGTTAACAATGCTATACATTATGATCTAAAATAATTATTAGAGAGAGAGAGAGAGAGAGCATTTATTTGGGGAATAGTTACAAAGTTTTCAATACATTGAGTGAAACAAAGCATTGAATGACTGATCGAATGGTTTATTGNAGAGAGAGAGAGAGAGAGAGAGAACAAAACTTTCTAATGTTAAGCATTTTTAAATTTATTAAATTGTTATATAATTATACTTTATGTTATCATTTCGTCACTTAATATTGTATGTAGTATTAAATCATGGAATAGTTTTTATAATTAACACATTTTTATGATGAAAACTATTAAGCTAATGATAATGTACTATCATATTCAGCCATAGATTATTATTTGTTAATTTTTCTTACAAAATTAATTGTGTATATTTAATAACATTTCATGTAATATAAAAATTATAAAATACATAATTAAAACTTATATTAATTTATTTGTAATAGTTAGTTTTACTAAAAAATATTTATTTTTAGTAACAACATAATAGCATTTGTTAAACATAATATAAATAACATTTATTATTATTGTATATTTAATTTCATGTGGTTTGAGCAAAATAATTTGTTAATTAATATTTTATCAAAACAACCATGTTAAATCCGACTCAGCTATTGCCCGAACAGTTGCAACTAAAATCGCCCATGTATAAACTACACAAAATTGGCCTTTGCTTACAAACTTACCAGGCCACACCAATATGTCGACGCTGGTACGAGAATCCTATATTAATCGCGCTTGGTCTTTGGGCATACGTACTTATTTATATAGTTTTATTAGTAAATAACGGACACAATATATTGATTGTAATTATGCTTGGTGACTTTTCGCATTGGTTAAACATTTAATTGTATTTCAGGGTCGGTGCTGTAGTGCTATACCTGTATATTATTAGTAATCAATGTATTTATTACTACAGCTATTTTAAGGGCATTGAGCCCTCGTTTCTAAGGGTATTTGCTATGATGTCTGGCGCCGACAGTCCGGCCAGTGTTGGTCTATTCGACAGCCAATCAGTGTATAGACTGCTTAACGTATCAAGATTTTTATTTAAATGCAGCGAGTTCATACACCGTAAGGCATCGGCGCCGGTAGGTTTAATCGTGATCATAACAGTGGCAATATACCATCCAACCCTACCTGCCATACTGTATAGTGTGCCCAACACTGCGCTAACATGTTTTACATCTTATCACGTGTTTGGCATAGTTCTATGGCAGTTGACATACTTTTACGTAATGTGCTTTTATTTGATGCTTAAGTTTCGTATAATTCGTGCGTCAATTCCAGGAATCAAAATATTCCGGCAAAAGTCGCGGAATATTCTGGCAATTGTACAGTCGCTCCACGATATAAGCCAAGAGATTGGTGATTATAATCGGAGCTTTTGGTCAAAATATTTGTGCAGTGTTTGGCTAGCGTTTGGGTCAGTAATGGTAATGGGTATTTTTATTATTTTATTTTTAGATATGTCTATTTTTATCAGGTTTATATTTATTTATTTTGTTGTTATTATGTCTTTAATATTTTTGGTAATTTTGTTTACTGCCTCAGCTATTAATACCAAAGCTAATAGATTTCATAAACTATTATCTGGGTTATTTGTAAAAAATTATGTGCATTTCAAATAGCTATAAAGTATATTCTTATATATATATATTCTTTAGATTATCTACGTGAAATAAATAATAATTCTATTCTATATATTTATTATCATTCATAACAAGAATTGTTCTTATTGTTAAAATATTTTATGGTCAAAATAAAAATACAGAATTTAATGATTATTATAAAATTCATAAACTTATCACAATATAAAAATAATGTAAATATTTTAAATATATTTCTATCATAATGAATATTCTAATTACTTTTACTTTGAATTAGTGTTTTAATGATTCGTATATGAATATATTTTACATTTCAAAGTTTACATTCATTATTTTACAATATTGTTTTATATTTTGGATTATATTTTATTATAAAATAAATAAAATTTGCTTATAATATATATAATTTTTTATATATATACAATAATAAACAATTGTTTGCATAATTAGATAAGAATATTGATTAAATACATCATGATGAATATATTGTACATATACCAGATACGACATACTTGTATTTATTGTACGAAAATACAATTAAAATATTTATAATGCAATGATATTAACTTTATTACTTTTTTTTGTAAACAATTTTACTAAACATTATTTAATAAATATTGTTTAAAAGCATGAGTAAATTAAAAAATTGATAAAGCAAATTGCCTAAATACATATTGACATATTTATTTATTTTGTTTATTAATAAATTTAATTACATTTAAACTTATGATACAAATACCACATTCAACAGCAATGGCAACCAAACCGAGAAAAACTGTAAACATCCGGAAAAATGACAAAAATTGTGTTAACAATGAAATGCAAATTGAATGCCAAAAGTTTGAGCGATTTATGCGAAACACATTGTTTACGGTTAACAGAGATTCCCAGCAATACATATTGTCCAACACTAACACCACAACTACTGAGCGGCCAATAAGTCACGGCTGGAGGTTATACGCGGTAATTATGGGTCGAATTGCATTATTTATTATCGTGTTAAGATTTCTCCTATTGTCTATAGTGTCCAATGAATTTATGGTGAATTTTTTATTTGATTTTAAACATTTAAAAGTTAAAAAATTATTATATGCTGCAATAAGTAGCATATTCCTTTCTGTACTATGTTATGCCGTATTGTTCACAAAACAAGAATTGGCAGGTACATTTTATTTGTTAGAATTTTTCCATAAAATGCATTGCAATTCATTTTGCTATCCAATTAGTAAAATACAATTTCATAAATGTCAGAGAATTGTTAAATTTTCAAACATATATATTAACAAATTTGCATTTAATGTTTTATTATTTTCATTTACCACGTATGAAATATACCAATATTATATCGCTTATATTGATAACCCATCAATATTTAGATTAATTCAGATGTTATCAAATGATTTTCATGTTTTATTATGTAACATTTTGGTGATTTCAATCTTATTTACATTAAGCACATTAATGGTTTTATCATCATATTATTTAAAACATAAATTCATGGAAATATCCCATAAAATAGCGTTGAGTGTGAAATATAATAACAAACGGCTATTAATGTCGGCTATTGTTGAACACAATTACTGGGAATTACAGACAAAACGACTCAACAAAACCATGAAATACATCATATTCATAACGTATTACATCGCACATCCAGGTTTGCTAATAATCATTTATTTAGTTCATAATAAAGACAGCGATATATCAACACGTTTGGCTATGGCTACAGTGATGATATTTATATTTATATTTGCAACTATTATTGTTATTTGGGAAGTTTTAATTACTAGAGCCGCCCACAGGCCATACCCGATATTGATGTCATACCTGTCCTCATCTCCCGTACCCGCGCTTTTACTGTGCGATCGGTTGAAAGTGTTTGCATTCATAGAGAGGCTATCGATGGGACCCACAATCGGCTACTATTGTGGAGATTTGTTTCCCATTACTTCCTATGAATTCTATCAATTCGTATACATAAGTGGTTTAAATTATTTGTTACTTATATCGACTTTTTAAAATAATTTAATTTATTATGGTTCTTTAATTTCATAAATTATACATGTCTAGATAAATTTTTTATTTAATTATTATGCATGTCTCATCTGTTGAACGTTTATAAAATCAACAATATAAATAATCTAGTTCATAAAATTACTGTTATTATTTTTAATTGTACAATTGTATTAAACAAATATTACCTATCTGTCTTTATTTTTATAAAATATTTAATGTTTACTTGTTATGTTTTTAAATTATTTTTGTGTTTTAGAGAGAGAGAGAATAATAAACAATGACAACTTATCATAATTACCATTATGTAAGCAATTAAACTAATAATATTGTACTAATATATTTTTTTAATCACTCTTTGTGTTAATTATCATAAAATTAATTAAATTTGTTGAATAACATTTTGCGTACTCATTAATTACTATGTACAAATTAATGCATTTATTGAAAGCAACAATTTTTAGTAACAATATATTGGAAATCGTTAAATAAAGTTTAAAATAAAAATAACGTTTATTATTATATTTAATTGTGTAACGCTTTCTTATTAAAAATATTACCATAATATATATGCAATATTAAAATGGCCATGCTGGATCTAACTCACCCATTGCCAGTAGAGTTGCAACAAAAATCATCATGTTATAAACTATACAAAACTGAATTATGCCTACAGCTATATACAAGTGCACCGGTATTTACAATAATTAAACGATGGTATGAGAATCCTATACTCATCGCACTTGGTCTTTGGACATACCTACTAATCCATATAGTTTTATTAATAAACAACGGACAAAGTCTGCCACTTGTAGTTATGCTTGGTAATTTTTCACATTGGTTAAACATAGGCGTGTATTACAAAGTGGGCGCTATCGTACTGTTTTCGTATCTCATAAGCAATCAATGTATTTATTACTACAGCTATTTCATGGGTATTGAGCCCTCGTTTTTGCGCATATTTGCTGTGATGTCCGGCACCGGGAGTCCCACCAGTGTTGGCCTATTGGACACCCACGCGGTGTATAAATTGCTTAAAATCACCAAGTTGTTATTTAATTATAGCCAGTTCATACATGGTAGGATATCGGCCTTAATAGGTTTGATCGTGATTATAACAGTGGCCATATACCAGCCAACCTTACCGGGCATACTGTATAGCGTGTCCAACACTGCGCTAACATGTTTCACATCATATCATGTGTTTGGTATAATTCTATGGCAGTTGACATACTTTTACATAATGTGCTACTATTTGATGCTTAAGTTTCGTACAATTCGTGCGTCAGTTCCCGGAATCAAAATATTCCGGCAAAAGTCGCGCAATATTCTGGCAATTCTACAGTCGCTCCACGATATAAGCCAAAAGATTGGTGACTATAATCGAGGTTTTTGGTCAAAGTATTTGTGCAGTGTTTGGCTGGCGTTTGGCTCAGTGATTGTGATGAGTATTTTTATTATTATATTTTTGGATATGTCCATTTTTATCAGGTTTATATTTATTTGTTTTGTTATTATTATGTTTGAAATATTTTTAATAATTTTGTTCACCGCTTCGGCTACCAATGCTAACGCTAATAAATTTTACAAAATATTATCTGGGTTATTTGTAAACAATTATGTGCATTTAAAATAGCAAAATAGATTTAGAGTATATTCATATATTAAATAATCGTAAGCTATTTAAATTAAGTGCACGTAAACATAATATATCTTATTGTTACATTTATTGATTAAAATAATAATTGGTTTTTACATAACTGTTTTATGTTGAATATTTGAATTTATAAATAAAACAACATTAAATTTTATTTTTGATTATAATATATTTATTTTTGGTATGATTATCAAATTTGCCAAATATAAACTAGAGGCTTAATGGTTTTTATACGACCATAATTTTAATTTTGAAATTTACATTCATTATAAAAAGTTATTTTACAATTTTGCATTTATTTCTTAAATAAAGTAAATAACATTTGGATAAAGATATATGCACTAACTAACGACTGTCAGCATAATTATACAAAAATAATTGTTATTATTGTTAAAAATATTTTATGGTCAAAATAAAAATGCAGAATTTAATAATTATTATAAAATTCAAAAATAACCTTAATGTAAAAATAATGTAAATATTTTGAATTTATTCCTATCATAATAAAAATTCTAATTACTTATAAATTAGATTTAGAATTTATTTTATACATATTGTGCTGTTAATAGTATATTAATAAATATAACCTAAGTTGAAAATTTAAATTTATAGTAAAACATAACCAGTTTGATATAATAACGAAGTAATGGCAAATACATCGGTAACCAAAGGCAAACTTGTAAATAATGAAATGCAAATTGAATGCCAAAAGTTTGAGCGATTTATGCGAAACACATTGTTTACGGTTAACAGAGATTCCCAGCAATACGTGTTGTCCAACACTAACACCATAACTACAGAGCGGCCAATAAGTCACGGCTGGAGGCTATACGCGGTAATTATGGGTCGAATTGTATTATTTATTATCGTGTTGAGATTTCTCTTATTGTCTATAGTATCAAATAAATTTATAGTAAATTTTTTATTTGATTTTGGACATTTAAAAGTGAAAAAATTATTATATGCTGCAATATGTAGCATATTCTTTTCAGTACTATGTTATGCCGTATTGTTCACCAAACAAGAATTAGCAGGCACATTTTATATATATGAATTTATTCATAAAATGCATTTTAATTCATTTCGCTATCCATTAAGTAAAAGACAATTTCATAAATGTCTAAAATTTATTACATTTTCAAACATCTATATTAATAAATATGCTTTTAGTGTTTTATTATTTTCATTTACAACGTATGAAATATACCAGGATTATATCGCTTATATTGATCATCCATCAATATTCAGATTAATTCAGATGTTATCAAATGATTTTCATGTTTTACTGTGTAATATTTTGTCATTTTCAATCTTATTTACATTGAGCATATTTATAGTTTTATCATCATATTACTTAAAACACAAATTCATGGAAATATCCCATAGAATAGCATTGAGTGTAAAATACGATAACAAACGGCTATTAATGTCGGCTATCGTTGAACACAATTACTGGGAATTACAGACAAAACGTCTCAACCAAACCATGAAATACATTATATTCATAACGTATTACATCGCACATCCGGGTGGTCTAATAATCATTTATCTAGTTCATAATAAAGGCAGCGATATATCGACACGCTTTACCATGGCTGTAACGTTGATATTTATATTCATATTTGCATCTGTTATTGTTATTTGGGAAGTTTTAATTCCTAGAGCCGCCCACAGGCCATACGCCGTATTGATGTCATACCTGTCCTCTCCCGTACCGGTGCTCTCACTGTGCGATCGGTTGAAAGTGTTTGCATTCATAGAGAGGCTATCGATGGGACCCACAATCGGCTACTATTGCGGTGATTTGTTTCCCATTACTTCCTATGAATTCTATCAATTCATATATATAAGTGGTTTAAATTACTTGTTACTTATATCAACGTTTTAAAAATAATTTCATTTATCACTATATTCTGTAAACAATATTACTTATTAATAAAATTATTATTAAATTAAAATAATTTTACAAAACAAAGTTCAATTTTAAAATAAAGTTTTGCAAATATTTAATATTTATATAATTATTTATCAAAACCTTTACATTTAAAAAATTATTCAATACAAATACTTACTTAAAGTTTTAATTTAAAACAATTAAATTTTTAATTAGATAATACGTCAATGAATAAAAAAATATCAATCATGTATAATTTTTATAAAAATAGTTTGCTTACAAAAAAAATATGATTCAAAAATACATTTCAGAAAAAACGTGTTGAGTTTAATCATACAATGATTAAAATTTAATGTTGATTAATTAGTACATTGCCCATGATATATCAAACTTATAAGCTAGAAACAATTCAAATAAACACAATTAGCAACACTAATCATATTATACAACACATGGTACAATTTACATTGAGCTACCGGTGCCGTCCACTCCATAGCCATCTGTGCCTCCAAACGGGTCCGGAATCTGACAAATGCCAAAAAGTTATGTACAATCCGTACGCCATCCACACGTAGGGCGCCGTTGAATGCAAACAAATCGGTCAACAGTTGCCTCCGGGAGCGCAGGTCTAACCGACGGACACATAGCGTACGGATCTATCAAATAATAACACAATTGACCCGTTCATTAAAACGGGAGTAATACGTAATCTGACACTAACCTCATCGCAATCATCGCCCGTATCTCCCGGTGACAGCCATTCAAACGTCAACCGATTGGCGCCGACATACAAACCCTGGGCCAACACTCGACGGGCCATAGCGGCCGAGTAGTGGCTCTTGTACTCGACTACCAGCTGCCGCTGGCCCTTAACACCGGCGGTCACCACATCCCGTACCGTAACCACACCGTCTGTAGCCGTTGACAGCCCGATCCCCAGCTCCCTGAGAGGGCAATCGTTGGGCACATTACCCACGCTTAGGGTCCGTATATCGTGCGATAGCTTAACACTGATGGGAGTCCCGGAGCTGCGTTTGATGGGACGGTTGTCGAGTAGATTAATGGCCACTCGAGCGGCCCATGGGTTGCTGTACTCGGCGAAGGCGTAGCCCCGGCACCGGCCGCTGAAGTTTACCATTAGACGTAGAGTGACCACAGGTCCGGCGCCCACCTGTTCGAGCGCTGGTAGCAACTCGTCCTCGTAGTAATCCGATGGCAATCCCCGTATGAATAGCTCACAGCCCGGCGCCGGTGGTGTGAGTGGGCTGTACCGGCTGTAGATACGTTGCCCGTTGTGTTGAGTGATGTTGTGGTGCGGGTGAAGGGCCAGTAGGGCCTGTATTTCTGGCCCGTCTATGGGTTTTGTACACATAGTTATGAGTTTTGCACAAATGAGTTGTTTTTTATTATAATACAAAAAATATAATTCAGTTTTTAAAATGCTATGTGTTTTCAAGTATTGTATTTGTTTTATTTTTTTGTTACATTATACGAGTTGTAATAGTATACCGCTTGTGGTGACCAATCGTTGATGTTCATTAGGAAGTGCTAGATGATTTTTGTTTATATTACAGTATATGTCCGATATAATGAACAATCTTTGTTTATTTAAATTTTATATACTTAATTTTAGATAACGATTAGTACAAAAATATTTATTTTTATATTTTATTAATGATTCTTATACTGGGTTAATTTACTTCAATAAATGACATAATGTGCCTGTTAATTATAGTTTATAATTAATTATATTATACCTAGATTTGTAGTGTACTTCATATGTTTTCTGTGGGTTTGAAATATGATAGCAATGCTTATGTTAATTGAATGAATCATTTGTTTATTTATAAAATAATAATATGAATAAAAATTAAAGCAAAATATTTTAATAAAAATGTTTTAAATATTTTATGAATTAAACTAAAATTATATTTAAATTAACATAGAAACATTAGTTATAATAATTTAACATCTTTTGTATAATTGTTTGTCTGTTTGTCATTTTTATATTTATTAAGTTTTAAACTTAAGAC